GTAGAAGATATTTGCACAAACTTAAAAAATAAAAAATCACCAGGGTCAGGTAATGTTGCCGCAGAATTAATCAAACATGGAACACACAAACTGTATGAACATCTAACAAAGCTCTTTCAAAACTGTATTAACGGCGGAGATATCCCAGAAGAATGGAAATTATCCTTCTTTACCCCTATCCACAAAAAGGGCAACAAGGAAAACTGCGACAACTATCAAGGTATCGCAGTGACGAGCTCAATCGGTCGGATTTACGGTAAAATATTAAAGGCCAAAATAGAACGCGAATACACAAACAGTGAAGCAGAAGAACAAGCGGGCTTTCGCGCGGGAAAATCCGTCGTTGACCATCTGTTTTGCATCACCCAGCTTATCGAGAAAATTGTCAGCCTTCAATAAGGAGATACATCTCCTGTTCGTAGATCTGAAGAAGGTATACAATAGCATACCGCTAACACAACTTTGGGAGGCATTAGACAAGACAAGACAACAAGGGACTCAAACAAGGGTGTTCTATATCCCCCACCCTGTTCAAAATATATCTTGAACAAGCGTTAAGGATATGGAAGCAAAAATGCAGAAATATGGGCATCCCCCTTAACAATGCAAACATATACACCCTAAGCTTCGCAGATGACCAAGTCATAATGGCGCAAGACTACGATGATGTAGAATACATGATGCGAAAACTGATCGAAGAATACAACAAATGGGAGTTGGAAGTAAACTTACCAAAAACAAAGTATATCGGTGGAGCACAACGCGACCTCCTCTTAGACGGTCAGGCTATCAAAAGCTGCGAAACCTACAAATGCCTGGGAATGTACATATCCAGCTGTGGGACGTTAGACTACGCCATCAAAGAACGAAATAATCAAGGAAGAAAGGCCATTACTATGCTGAACACCTTCTTGTGGGACCAAAAAATCACGAGACGAAACAAACACCTAATATACAATACGATCATAAAAAGCATAGTCACATACAGCAGTGAAGTCTGGCCACTAAAAGAAAGAACCATGAGAACGCTGGAGGCAACAGAGATGGACTTTCGCAATTCGCGCAACCATGAAGGTGGGCCATACGATTTCAGACGAAATAAGAACAAAACAGTTAAAGTCGTACGGACACGTCCAAAGAATGGAAGAACAGCGACTGCCTAAACAAATACTCACCTGGACACCTACAGGAAGAAGGAAGAGGGGAAGACCGAGAAAGAGCTGGAGAGAGGGCATCGATAGTGAAACACAATGGAGACGACTGGACGAGGACCTATGGAAGGACAGAAATCGATGGAGATTGGGAATCGGACGACGTCGGAGGACGTTTTAAAAACCGATAGATATATATATTGTTATATAAATGTTGGGTCAAAAGCCAGTCATTTTGAAGATATCGCACTACAAATATGGCGGAATAATAATGTTTTTATTATAATGTACTTATTACCTTAAAAACGAAAAGACATTTTTTTAATTTATGTTTTATTTTTATTAGTTTCAAAGATGTTAATTAATAAATTATTTTTTAAAACTTATTTGTTCAGAAAATAAATGATAAATGTGGTTTCGAAACATCAAACTAAATTATTTTTCTCAAATTTTTATTTCGACATTTCATTTTTTTATTTGGGAACCGAAAATTTTATGAAAATATCGCAGAAGACTTTTCTAATAAACCCGTCTATCAAAATTAATTTTTCCGTTCCATTATAAAAAAACATTGGTTGAAAACTAAGTTTCAAATGACCGCGCATATTAAATGACCTATCTCTATATTTCTTATTTTATTATCAGTATTTATCCCTGTCCCATCAATTCATGGTTTGTCTGACCATATCGGATATAATCTATTTGGAGTTCTTGAAAGCGCAAATATTAGCTTTGATTAATTAGTCAAAGATAAAAAGAATATTACTTTAGTTGCCCCACCTCTCTCTACCCACTGCAGCTGAACGTGAATCCGATCGTATGGTAAATACTAATTTCCGAATTTCTCACAGGTCGACCAAACAACAGCCCTTCGCCAATACTTCAATCGAAATAACCCCCTCGTCATTAATAAAATTCACCAAAAAATAAAATAACCCTTGCGAGACGAGGGCCGTGCATGTACCGTGAAATCGACTCGAGGCGAGTAGATAAAACAATTATAATAATTGCCCGTCTATTATCACATCGTTCCGGATCGTTGGGTACAGGTGGGTTGATAAATAATGGGTCTTCTAATGCACCCGTTGGGTGGGCACCGGTTTGTCCAATGAATGAATATATTTCGAAAATGGTGTTTTTTTCAACCCCCATAGAAACCTGATTTTAGTATACCTACAAATCACAAACTATATGTATTCATATAATTTGTACATTTGATTTTTGCTCGACAAAGAAGAAGTTACGGCTATTTCACAAAAAATTTCAAATTTTGCTCATCGCCTCATAAAAAGGTTTTTGAGATCCTCTAATGTCTCCGTTCAACTAGTTCCACATTTTGTGTGATTCTACATGAAAATTAATGGAGGTTGCAGTTGTTTTTAAATTCTATTTTTTACTACAAAAAAAACGTTTATCTTATATTTTCTTATTCCGGGATAAGGACGACTTTTTTGAAATTAACTTTATAAGAAGTTATTGTCAATACAAAGTTTTTCTTATTTTAAATTGTGCTTATTAAGAATAAGAACCATAAATTTAGAAGATTCAGTAGAACAAAAAGTTTTATACACACATTATATCAATAAATGAAAAAAAAAACAGAAAATTGATAATATACAATTACACTATTAAAATGTCTCCAGTAAGACATAACATATAAAAATTTATATTAATTTTTGTAGCAGGTTGTTGTAATGTAACATGTACCCATAAAATTTAAACAAAACGTTTAATTATGTTTTTATGTAAATACAATGCACTTTTTTGTATAACACAAGTTAATTATTTGTGGACCACCATATATGTTATTTCTGTTTTCCTTTACAAACAAATAAAATTTGCCATGAATGGTAATTTTGTTTCACAAAATCTAATAAAAAAGTTATACTACTTAGCCTGCAGCCCAAATTTTCACACGCAGCTATTCTTTTTCCAATTTTTTGAAAAATTCTATATATACTTCATGTAATAGACAGTAGGCTCGTTTAATGATATTTAATTTATATATTTTTGAAGACAGTTACGTTTTTATAGGCCCTACAATTATTATTTGTAAATATTTCCTGTACTATTAATTTGTAAGTATTTTGCTCAAATGGGAACCATTTTTATGTCTTTTATTTCACGGTTAACTCTTTAGATTGCCCGAACCTTTTAGTTTTTCAAATACGTAATGCCATTTAATTTTTCCCTTTGAAATGCTACGTCCAATAATAATTCATTTGACAGCGCGGCGAAAGAAATTTATACAGTGTGTCCCACTTAAGAAATGTACACCCTTGTAAAATCTTCGTTTATGGTTCGATTTTGATAATTTTTTTTTGTTGGTTAGGTCTCTGAAAAATGCACTTTGCTTATCGCTTATTGCTTCAACTGAAAGTCATGGCCAACTGAGACTATTTAACAAAAGAGAGAAAAGAGAGAAGTACTATTTGAGATTAAAAATAAAATAAATTGGCAACGAATTCTTATTCAGAAGAACATAAAGCCTAAATAACGAGTGCTCGAAATATCGCTGACGCCTCGCTAAAACATTACTCCTGTAGAATGTTTGTTTATAGATAGTTTTGATTGCTAGAAAGAAATTAAACGGTTTTTTCGTATATCATCTACTAAAGTCGTGGCTAACTGACGCAGTGTTTTGAAGCGGAAAATCGAGAATTGATAACATTCAGCAATTCGTGTTCAGGACTATCTAAAAGTAACTAGACCAATGACCAAAGTTTTTAATGTTTTAAAAAAATAAATATTGTAAACTTTGTAAATAACGATTATTTTCTATGTTAGGATCTTAAAATTTTTAATTATACAAATTTCAAAAATAAAAACAGCATTAATAAATCTTACTATCCGAAAGATGTAAACAAAATTAAAAGATAAATTCGCCAGTGAATTTCGCTGCCAAATATTCGCTTCTCCATGGCAAACTTGATTTTACAAAGGAAACAGTGTGCCAACGTCAATCAATTTTGACATTTCATTATTAGATGAGAAGTAAAAATCCCTTCTATTTAAAAAAAATACAGCGTTGTAAAGTCTGTTTCGTTCATTTGCAATCCTTTTTAATCATATTTAATTTTAAAGGAATCGTTAGTGTCTTTCAGTGAAATCTATCCAATAAAAAAGAATTATCAAAATAGAGCCATACACAAACATTCTACAGGAGTAATGCTTAAGCCAACTTCATGGAAATTAGTATAGTTAGGTTTTATGTAGTCCTGAATAAGAATTCGTTGACAATTTATTCTTCAAGAAGTCCCTAATACCCCTTCTCGATATTTGACCTCACAAATTAGTCTCAGCCTTCAGGTTGATGTAATAAGAAACACAAGGTATTAGTGCGTTCTTGAGAGATCAATCCAAAAAAAAAACAATGTACAACCTTAAGCGGAACGCAAACGATAGTTCAAACACCCTTTATTGAAACATTATAAAAATTGGTATTGTTGGGTTTTAAGTACTCCCAATTTTTTTTTTAATCCCTAATAGCACTTCCCACTTCTCTCTCCGTTGTTAAGTAGTCTTAGTAGACTTGAAGTTGAAACAATGAGCAAAACAAAGTTTTAGTGCATTTTTCAAAGACCCATCCAACAAAAAAGAAATCAATATCGAACCTTAAACAAAGATTTTATAAGTGTGTACACTTCTTAAATGGGACACACTGTATAATAAAGCTGTTTCCTTTAACAACGAAAGATATGTTTTAAGAGTTTTGAATATTTAATTGTTTTGTAATGAAAAAATCCCCAATTTATTAGCGGTCTGTAATCGTTTAATGCCTGTGAAACTCTCTCGCTGGGAGAACTTACTCCTTACAGGATAAACACCGCCCAAATAAAGTCAACTTACGAAATCCAATGGTAGATTCCAGAGACGGTCAATTCACCTTTCTCGCTCAGAGCGTGCTCGATTAGTTCGGTGTAAGTAAACGGCGGTTTTTTTGACCCCGAGTAGCGGTGTTGATTGGCATATTTCTGCTCCTCCTTGATAGATAGGTAGGAATAGAAACGACATCACAGACCGTAAACTTATTTTTTCCCTCACCTCTATAATCGTTTGCTTCGTATTAGACTTGGCAGACCCAAACGTCGGATTGGTTTTATTGTTCGTTTCAACGGTTTCTGTTGCTGCATCTGGAATTTCGGTAAAGGATACATACTGATTGCTCGTTTTGCGTTGGTATACGCTCGAGAACTTGGCGCTTTTTAACAACAGGATCAAATTAAAATACGAATCCGATACAAAGCTGCATTCTTATCTACTCATCCAAGAATACGACCTTATTACGATACAACTATTTCTTCCTCTTCTATTCGGCCACCATTTATCATCAATATGGAGGCTAGATGTGAACTCGATTCTCTATTTTAACTAAGCCGTTTCTTCATAACTAAGAATCGGTAAAATAATAACGCACACACTGGATTTAAAAGTTCATTTTATTTCTACCTTCGAGTAAGGAATTGAAACATTATTTGAAAAATGTCGACAAAAAAATAGATCTGCAAGATTTTGTTGACCTCTATCAAACTTCAATGGTTTATTCAGAGCGAGACGCATAGTAATGATGATTGTTTTCTATTATCATATACATTAATACTATTGATAGACAAGGGTTTCAATTTTTATTTTTTTGAGTTAAAGTGGTAATTTTATGTATTGCTTATGGCTGCAATAATATATATATTCGTCAAAACAAAAATGTTTTCTCTACATACAACATTTACACCTGTTTCATAAATAAAAATATATCTAGACGTGATAATGAATATTTGTGCGACTTAAATATTTTGAATTTCTTATTATAATAACTGTTGTTGTTTAACGAGTAAATATGTAATGCTTTCTTTAGACTCCTTAAATGTGAACAGCACAGTAGCTGCAACCTAACCAAAGCTTTGTAAAACTGAAAGAAAAAAATCAGTTCTGTTGTCGGTGATGTGTATAATTGAAAGCACTTCTAGCGAAGTATTTTCTTCGTGAACATAACAATTAACTAGAATAATTTGTATGCCCTTTTTCGAAGGTTTTTAAAGAAGTCGAAAAGAGCAAGAGAGAGAGAGAGAGAGAGAGAGACTAAATTTGCATCACTTTTCTATCATGCCGTGACCATTTTAAATCAATAGATTATAAGCTAAACACTTTTTAATTCGATCTTTTTCACTTTACTTTTGGCCATATCAATTTTTCAAATTTATTATATATTACTAGTTTCGGTTACAAGGCGTAACATTTTAAACATTAAACTATTCGCTGTACGAATGCATTTTTTTTATTTATAAGAAGTCGGTACAACCACTTTTGTTCCAAATTTAGTATACAACTCTAAAATGTCATTTTAATTACTTATTCATTATTATTAATTATTCAAATTTGCCGTCATCGGTCACTTGACTGGCGTCAAAGTGTGTTTTTAGTTTGCCCCACATGCTAAAGCTATCGTATATAAAAAAAACCATATGTAGCTGAACATTACGAGAAGGTTCTGGATTATATAACTGCGTAATATCAAAAACAGCAATTTCTGTTACTCTCTAAACAAAAAAAAAGGAACAAACCAATCATATCATTACTATACTGCTCGTTGAAGGAAACGGCAGGACTGCCATTAACAAACGAATTTTGAACACGTTGGTTACCAGCATAAACAGCAAAATAGTGAAAAATAAATAAGGCGGCAACGCATCATAAAACGAGTTATAAACCGAGTTGTGTTTTTTAGGCTACATTTTAAAATCACCTGGAACCGGTGGCAGTTCTTGTATCTTGTAATTCAAGAGCCAAGATAAATTTCCATCGGCACAATCGGACTCGATACCGCTATCCGAACCTCTCGGACTAGGAGTAATGTCGTTGGCATCGCACTGGACCGAGCCCTGCAGCATAGTGAAGTCTTCTTTTCTCACGTTATGCATGTCGGAAACTTTATCGGAATGACACCCGTTGAGCAAAAGCACCTGAAATGGAGTAAATATTTCCTCGAGCGCCTAAACGGAAACAACTGCAATATACTTGGTGATCGTCGCGTGATTTTTCGATTTTAATTTTTGGGATTCTGCTCGCGACATGCCCGACAATTCTGCGAATTTGAGACGGGGGTTGTCCTGGATGGTAGGAGAACGTCTGGGAGACCACCCTTCCCGTATCGGTAGGATCGCGGTATTTTATTTTTATATTTCCGCATCCGTCTCTCTCTTTTTGGGTGAAATAGTTCATCTTACCAACGTTGAAGTAAAATGTTACCGATAAAACGATCGGGTCGAATTTAAAACTTACACAAAAAGAATTGTTCAATAATGGAACCCACAGACATTTACACAAAATGACGTGAGCACTCTAGATTGGGTTGATCAGGGATGACGTTTAATTGTAACGTTATAATAAATCATTTATCAATAAGCGAGATTGCCCAAAAAATTTGCGAATTCAATGTTTTTCTTGTGCTCGGGTAAAATAGCATTACCTTTTATAGTAACAAATGCGCAAAACTTACGTCCGAGGTATAGCCGTTAATCACGTCAAAATAATTCATTGCACCGCACTTTTTTTAACTTCCTTTTTAAGTAGCGACTAATCTTGCCGCGCGAAAACAACTCCCAAGGGGTAGCGCAGGGACGCAAGCGCGAACTAAATTGTCGCCACCCCCGTTAAACGCATGGGCGTTTCCTGTGGCTAGAGGGTGGAGTTTACGGAACCCTTCAAATAACAGATATAAACAATAACTGACAGCAATTTTAAATTTTATTTGCCGATTAAGTATTAGTTATTCTTAAAATAGTTCTTTCACTTTTTAATAAGGTTTTGTACTTGCTACACTACTTCATCATGTGAGAGAAAAAAATCAAAAACATACGTTCTTGCTTGCCAAAAATTTTGTGTTTATAGAATATGGTCTTTTTGGAGACCATGCTTTAATATTGGTAGGTCGACCTAATGTAAATATATGCAACCAGGTAAACACAGTTGAATTGCTCTAGCGTGGTTGCCAAAGGTAACAATAATGTCTCATCTGTAATTTATCACATTGTCTCGTTTACCAAGATGTTTATTATATAAAAAAAACAGCCGAACGTTGTGTTGTAATCTTTAGGCTGTAATGAAATTCCATCCCAAACTAGACTCTGATATAAAAGATAAATATTTGGCAACATGGAAGAGATTTCCATATGATTAGCGTCAGTGTTTGACGTTTGCGCCCCAAAACAAACAACATACCGATACATATTTTTATTCCAATGCAGTGAAAATGGCTGCTAGTAGTGAAGGTTCGCCAACAAATCCAGTCGAAACCAATACCAGGTGGAATTTCTCCAGATCTTCGTCCGTGTCGTCTGAATTCCAGTGGTCAAATCTCTTAGTTTCGAGGTCAGATCAGAAAAAGCCTAAACAGCTGAACGGTAAGAGGTGCATCGAATTTCCAATTCTATCAGCATATGTTTTTACTACCCCAACGCAAATTCTTCAAACTCTCTCGATGTATGGAAGGTTTAAACTTTTTTTTTTTGGTTAGCGCACTAAAATAGATTTTTAAAATATGTTCTGTTCGGCCGAAAAGAAAAATTAATCGAAACTGATTCGTTTTCCATAGGTAGTTAACATAAATCACAATTATAGTAACCCGAGAAATACAGACATACTAGTGCCTCGAAAAGCACGTTCTTAAATTTATTAAATCTGATATATCTAATATATCCTTTATAATTGAAATATTATCGTATTATATTAATCAAATATCCTTTATTATAACAATGCCATTTTCCCTCCTCCAGGGCCAAGTTTATATTATTTGTTTTATTATATTCTTATGCAGTTAATGGCAATGAAAATTAGTTTTGAAAGTAATGCTGATAATTCAAACGGGATATTTTTAATCTTTTAATTTTTTTTTATTTAATTTTAATTTTCAATCAATTTCTACCTGGGTATTTTACAATTCGCCCACTATAAAATGTTATTATACAAAGTTTTACCGCATGCGCCAGGGTCTCATTCTGTGATCAAACACGTTACTTTTCGACGGTCTCCCGTATAGAACAATCCACCGCCGTCTATTGATTCTGGTGGCGCCGCGACGCCATGAAGGATGAAATCAATATGCCCGTTGGCTGATTGTGTCGCGCGCGTCTTTTCCGATGAAATACGCAACAATATCAATCTGTGAATTATATATCTTGGTGCACATCTAATTAGTACCATGAAAGTTCAAGAGTTGCCCGAATCTGGGGTAGCGAATGTTGCTGAGCAAGAAGTTGCGGGTGCCCAAGACACCATTTATCTGTGTAATTTCCGAGTGAGCGTCGATGGTGAATGGCTTTGCCTCAAAGAGCTACAGGACGTGGAATTCAACATGCAGGAGTCTGTCAGCAGTAAAGCAATGTCCCCACCATCCCCGGACGTTCCGGTTTCTCTATTTGGTACTTTTGCGCGTTGTCTTTAATTGATAAGATCACCTTTGTCTGAAAATCGTGGAATGACAAAACGTTGCGAATAAACGTACATTATACATATTTATACATATAGACGCTCAAAAATTTTTAAATTTACGTTTCCTGAGAAGCCATGTTAGTTATGCTTCATGAATTCGTTTATTATTCATTTTCATACTCTAAAATTTAAATAAATGAAAAATATTTTTCATGTAAAGAATTTTTAATATAAACCTATATTCTATATCGTCCGTCACAAAGAAAAATGTTTATAGGTAGGGATCCAGCGTCGATTGAAAGAAGCAACTTAGTTAACATAAGCAAACTCGTTGTGAAAGAGCTGATAGAGCAGTCTTTGAGATATGGACGAATGTTGGATTCAGACCATATGCCCCTCCAACACTTTTTTATCGTCCTAGAGCATGTATTGCGTCACGGTCTGAGACCAAAAAAGGTATTACCAATAACCCCACTCCTGAATATTTCTGACCATTTTAAATTTACTCTAGGGCCTATTGGGTCCAAAAAAAGAACTATGGGACATCCTCCAAATGGTTGAAAAGTACACTCCTGAAGCCCAAGATATTACAGCCAGTGTGCGAGACCTACCTACAGTGAAGTAGGCTCCGTTCAGTTATTTTTCCATTCCACTTAAGGTTTTTGTTTTTTTAGAACGCACATGGGTCGAGCTCGCGCATGGCTTAGATTGGCCCTCATGCAGAAAAAATTGGCAGACTATTTGAAAATATTGATCGATCACAAAGAGGAGGCTCTTGTTGAATATTTTGAGCCCGACGCTTTAATGTTGAGTGATGAGGCCATTGTGATTATAGGTCTTTTGGTGGGTTTGAACGTTATCGATTGCAATCTATGTGTTAAGGTGTGTTTGAGTAACTTGTAAACTGGAGTACAACTATGTGTTTCCAGGAGGAAGATTTGGATTGTCCTCAGGGTGTGATTGATTTTTCTTTGTATCTGAGGTCTTCAAATCAAGTTTCCACCGATTCCAGTGGGGACGAACAGGGCGACAACATGACCACAGTTTTAGATCAGAAAAATTATATAGAAGAACTGAACCGGCATCTAAAGTACCTAAGCGATGCGGCTGAGGTTTAGATGATAACCTTTCTATTTTATAGCGCTACAGTGGCCAACCTACAAAACAAAGTTGAGGGTTTAACAACGACCAACGCATTGATGAAAGAAGATCTGGCTATTGCTAAAAATAACCTGCTTGCTCTCTATGAAGAGAATAGACAGCTGAGGCAGGAGTGCGGCAGAGATCCAGGAGGATACTCAATGAGCCTCAGTGGGGTGCACATAACAAATTTAAACGATAAGGAAACCAAAGTTGCTTCTGGCGAATTAGAAGAGTTGAAGCACCGGCTAGAAGAGGAAAGGAAACTGAGACAAGAATCCGACCACGAGCTTGAAATACAAGTAATTTTGGTTTTTGGATTGTAGATTGAGATTTTTACCAACTGGAACTTTCAGATGTGTCTGAAGGCAGAAATGGAAGTCGCCATGAAATTATTGGAGAAGGATATTCACGAAAAACAGGACACAATTGTGTCCTTGAGGCGACAGCTGGATGATATAAAACTGATCAATTTGGAGATGTACAAAAAGCTTCAGGTGAGTGTGTGGTATAACATTTAGTTAACAGTAGTCAAACATGACGGAAATTTATGTAAAAAATATTTTGTCGTGGTCAAAAATACACTTAAGAAAATGCTAAGAAAGCGATTTAGATTGATTAAAAAATATATATTCATTTATGTAGATCATTTAATACTTAACTAATAACACTTTTTCCAAATCAAGGGGGTAAATTTTGTCTATTTCAATTAGCAAAGATCAGGAGAAATTTTGTTCCCAAAAAAAAAGGAAATTTGGGCTATTTTAGTCGGGTAACATTATTTCGATGGATATGGGAAAAAGACTTGTTGCGCATTATTTACGTTCAGGTGACCATTTATGTGTACATTAAGATATTTGGGGAATTATAGGAGTGTGAAATGGAACTTACGCAAAAAGGAGAGATGGTGACGAGGCTACAAGCAAAAGCTGGACAGATCGGCAAGATCCTTAATAATCTTGAAAAGTATAATCATCTGTTGAAAGACGATAAGAAATCATTCGATAGGCGAATCGATAAGCGCTCTTGCCAGTCTAAGGTCGAAAACAAAGAGAATATCCCTAAAAACTTAATGCCCGATCATCTTAAAGAGTGTGCCTCTAAAAAAGAGGGTAATAAGGAACAGGATGCTAATGATGACGCGAAAATTTCGTTATCGTCTGATTCGACAGATTCGTTTGTTAAACTCGATTTGGACACGAAATCTGATGATGAAAAAAGTACTCCTTAAATTTATAATCGCATAAATATGATTTATTGTTTTAATAAATGGTAGAATAGGTATTTCCCAAAACTTAATGTGAAAAGTTTAAGCATGGTTATATTTTTTTTTGGTTAGAAGACACAATTTACTTTAATGAATTTCGACAATAGGACATTGAGAAACAATCGACTTATTTCAGGAGAGCGAAGCATCATTAAAACATAAAACAGAGTTAATTACGAAGGTAGAGGCTAAGGCGCAAACTCTGACAGATACAATACAGACGTTAGAAGCTAAGTAGGTACACAATTTTATGTTTCTAACAATTTTTGTTTACTGTACCACACACTGGGCCAAACAATGATTTTACTTACTAGTACTAAACAAAAAAAAACTCAACTGGACTTATTTATAACCTCTAAGTAAATCTAGTAAACTATCATGTATTGAATAATAATAAAAGTTTTGGTATGCAGTGTCTATATATAAAACAGTTTCTATGAACATTTGAAATAAGACTAATTTAAACACCAATTTTATATGTGTTTTGCCCCAGTGTGTACCATATCAAAAATCACATTTTTTAACCATGCTAAGCAAGCTATGGGAATCATTGCAATGACAACAAGAACTTTCGTCTATAGTAGGCTGTGAAAAACAAGTAGGCAAATGGCAAACATCAGTTAGTTCCAGTGAAAGTTCTTGAGGTTGGTGCTTCTTAAAAAGATCGAAACGCATTCCAAATAGCTTTAAATGTTGATCTTATTCAATTTTATGTAACCCAAAATAATATCCGAACTTGGAAATGTTGGCAAACCTTCACTACAGCAGCTGCATGATCTAAGCTAGCAACGTATAAAACTACACTAAACTTAATAAAACAACGTTTCTAGTCACCAGTAAATGTTTGTGGAGTATATTCTTGTAAACATTTAGGGTATAGTAAGTAGATGTTATTTTATAAAATATGTCATTTTCATTCCAAAACGAATGTTTACTTAACAAATAAAATCTGTAGCTTTTAAATGAGGTGGTTTTATTTCTAACCCAAACCATCCCGCATGTTTTTTTTTCTTTGGTTTTGTTGTATTGTTGGTTTGCCATCCTTTCATTTTAAAATACGTTTTTCCTTTCGTTTTGCTTATTATTAGTGTCTCAACACTAGGTGCCATTTCACTCATCTGAGGGTGACAGATTTATTAGAATCTGCATTTAAGGTACAAGAATTGTGAGATGAGCAGAGCCTCGATGGAACAGGTCAAAAAAGAGCTTCATATGCAAGCGGTACAAGTAGAAGAAAAGGTAAACAATAAGGAGGAAGACTTAAAAATAGAAAGAGAATGGCGTGTTTCATTGCAAGAAACATTGCACCAAGATAGGGAAAGAATTTCCAAGTTGCAGCATGAAAACAGTCAGCTTCGGATATTGGCAGAGGTATGCCCAACCTGATACAAATCAATTAGTATTATTTCGTTTTTGTCTATATAGAAATATGCAACCCTCCAGGAAGAGTACTACACTCTAAAAGACCACTGCCTCGAGCAAGAGCATACTCTCGAAGAAGTGGGTGCTCAACTTAGAGACACCAAGTTGCAGATTTCAGATTTAAAAGAGGAAGTAAACAAAAACAATGCGAATAGTACCTGGGTAAATGACAAAACGGCAACTCACTGTAAATCGTGTTGCAAGGAATTTAATATCACGAGGAGAAGGGTAGGTGTACAGCGAATCATCATTTGAAGTGTTATAGTTTCAATGTTGTAGCACCATTGCCGAAATTGTGGCGAGATATTCTGTAACACTTGCTCGGAAAATCTAATGTCACTACCGTCATCTGCGAAACCTGTGAGAGTGTGCAACTCATGTAACAACACACTTTTGGGGAGACAATCTGTGATGTAGTTTAGGTTTTAAAGTAAGATATACTGTAATGTGACACAACTTTACTGATGGATATTAAATATATGTTATTTGTTGAGATTTTTGTTAATAACTTCAAAAAAACAAAAAGAGTAACAATCAATGTAAAATAATTTTTACTATAGCAATTGTCCTTATTTTAAATAAATGTCAAATATACAGGGTGCGGCAAAACAAATTTGAACTTAAGACAATTCTTTGTTTAAAACCCCCGCTAGATTTTTTTTTCATTTGGAAATGGTATTGTGAAAAAATTGTAGGGGCAAAAGTTTCTAAATAAAACAAAATAAAAAATATTTTTTGTCAATGCATAAATTTTTCCTTAAATTCAGAAAAGCACCATAGGGGTGTTTTTATAATTGTAATATTTTATTGTCCTAATTATTTTCATTTCTAAGATCAAAGAATAAAAAAATTATTTGTACCGCGAGATCTTCCTAATTGCTGGCTTTTGCCCTTACAAACTACCCTTTAAGGAAGGAATCACCCACTGAAGTTTTTCGCATTTGTTTTGAAACTGCCTGTATACATTTTAAAAATATGCAAGCTATAACATATATCTCACATTGTTTGCACCACACAAATTCAATATAAAAAGTTACAAAAAAGTATATAAAAAATAACTGTTTTTCTTTCAATGGAAAAACCACAATCACTATGAGCCATGAAGGAAACACTATCCTTCTGCATCATATTAATGGACGGAAATATTTTCTAAATTAACAACGGACTATAAAAATAAAAATATGTTACCAACTATAAATATTAATCCAAACAAAACTATATTTGTTGAAGGACGAGATGAAAAGCCATCGTTACACCTTTCATCCAAGAAGCAGAAACACCAAGTTGTATTATCATAGTAATTCCTGGAAAAACAAACTTCAGTACCTTAATGTTCAAACCCTTTGCTGATTACCTGTAAATGTCTAACTCTTTGATGGAATTATTCACATAATTGGCCAGTTTAGTATCGACCGCGGCAGGTCTGCAACCTTCGTAATGATCCGCTGGAATATCAGTTCGTATGGCAAGCATACTACTCAAGCAATCACGAGTTATCACTGTGGTACCTTCCTTTTGTTCTATAATTTTTACACAAACATCATTATCTTCTGGACACACTTTAGTCCAGTGCCAAAGCCAATTGAATGGCGTTCCACATCCTGGCTGTGTGGATACACACTGATAACACCAAAGGGATAGGCCTAAAACTACGGTCCCCATTATACAACCACACCCTTTTATAGATGAAATCCAATAATGGTCGAGAATCTTACCATCTTTTATTAAGACACTCAAGAAAAGTACGAATAAATGCACTTTCATGTTGAGTCTTTTGAGGGCTCCAGTTTTTATAGGCAATTCTATATTTATTTACAATTGATTGAATTAACCTCAAAAAAAATATTTGGCTTAACTTGTTACCAGAGATAAACTGTACAAAATTGGTCGGAAGGGGGAACTATCCCACCGAAAAAACGAATACTTAAAAACGTCCTGTAAGCTTATTCATATTTATTCAGTTGAATGGAAAATATTCTGACTTTAATTTTTAATTTTACATCGATAGTTAAAAACCAGCAAATACTTTTCAACATAGAAGATTTTCAAATGTTTTGTAAAAACGCTTTTCGTTGCGGTTTTCCTTATATTACATTTTGCGTGTGAGATTTTGAGATTGCGTCTCTAACCACACTGAATTTACTACTCACTAAATCTAACAGCAGCTTGATTTACATTTAACAAATATGGTTCATGAAAAAAATAACCATGTGTGTGCAATAACGTACATTTCTGTGATCCATGATGGACGATGCACACAAGAAATTATTTGCACTCTAACCTTAATGTGATTTGAATAAGAATGGATCCAAAACGGTCGAATTTTCTGTTACCCTTGGGCTCTGGATCAAAATTTTTAAAACCTAGAAGTTCTCGAAAACAAGATCTGAATGCAACGTTGATAGGAACGCGATCAATGTCTGCAAGCACTTCTAATCTGAATCAAACTGTTCGGAGAAATCTGGATATAACTATGTTTGGATCTGAAAATGCACGGTCCAAGGCCAAACTGAATGCAGCAGTCAATGATTTGGAACTAGAGTATGATTTAGCTTACAGCGAATACCTTCAAGCTTTAATGAAGCAAGAAATTGTAAAAAACACAATTAAAGGACAAGAGACCATCTTGAGGGATCAAATAATAATTTTTTCAGAGACATTGCAAAAACTAAAATCTACCTATGATGAAATTGTTACCAGCATTGAAAATCTGAAAAATCAAAGTGAAGCTATTGAACAAATGAATGCACTGCAGCTTAGCATGGATGAACTGAATTTAGTTTGCAACATATCAGATATTGAGAAGCATCTAAAGGAAATGCATGAGGCTTTACAAGAAAAGTTTAGTTGTGTTAGTACTCAGAACATTAAACCTCTGACTAGCCAAGAGGATTATAACAGACTCATTCAAGCTTTAAATGATTTGAATATCCTTGGAGAAAAATTTCTCAATTCAAAGAGGGATTTTAACAAAATCAAAGAATTGGCTTTTGAAGTGAGGAAGTGTTGCCAATTAAAAAGCGAAGTTGACAAATTAACAAAAGAAATTATGGATTTACATAAAAAAGGGACTTCAATTGTTATGCGTAAAGGGTCTGATTTGTTTGCAGAACAGGGTGATTATTTCTAATACTATTATTTAATTTTATCCTTAGTCTTTTGTGAAATATACCTAAGTGATATTTAATGTGAATATTCAAATTCCAGTGAAGATTAGTTTTTATTTATATTTTGGAAATTGTAAATTTTTATAAAGTTTGTTCATATCATAAGCCCCAATGCTCCCACAATTTTTTGTTTTGTGTTACGTTTTAATTATTTATTTGTCCCAACAATGTGCGGTCAACTTGCAACCAGGTTTTGAACTTTTAAACAAATTGATAACGACTGTAACACCTATACCTCTCGGTAGGAAATTAATCCACACCCTCCGGCAAGTGAAACTGGCGGGGCTAACGCCTTGACAACCAAGCTTTTTTGTTGTTAGCAACCATAGAACTTCTTCTTCTTTACTTTCCCTTAACGTGGGCTTATTTTACAATTTAGTTCTCCATAGGCACCATAGAACTTTAGAAAAAAACATTTTTTGTTTTAGGAATAAATGTGCATACTAAAGAAATAGCAGGAAGTTGAATATAACCTAACTAATCTTTTGGTGAAAATGTTGATTAAAGAATTTTTAATTATCGGAACCTTATATTCGGTTGTTAATTCTGTAAATAAAAGCAACAGTGTGAAAATCGGTTTTATTAAATAGTTTATTGTAGAGCAGTTTGGAATATGATGGTTCCGTGATAATAAAACTACAACACTCTCTCCAAGGAGGGTCCCATTCAAGTTTTACCGAAAGGGGTAACATAAGTATCCATAGCTTAAGATTAGGACAAGCCATTGTCAGACAAATTCCGTTAACTGCGGAGGACAAGCAAAAGTTACAGATATTAGCAATAAACAATGAATTCTATAGACTTAAATCAACAGTTATTAGCAGTGATGGCGCAGAAAGAACATTTTTATCAACCGTTAAAGCTGTAAGGGTTCAAGTAGTTATTTTGGTACTATTAATGTACTCTTTTTTTAAAGTGTATGTTAGGAGAAGCTGAGTTAGATGATAGAATTTCTGTGTCCCTTGATTATATGGGCAGGGTAATAGCTGTAACTATGGTCATAGCTTCAAAGTCAAGTTGCGAAGGTGCAAGCCTTGATGTTGATAAACTAAAGGAATTTACTACAAGTGTGTATGTCAGACATGCCGAAACTGGTCCAATGTAAGAAAATACCAATATATTGTGATTTTTATAATTTAGTTTTCTTGTTGATTTCTAATCATTTCTTATTTTATAGCCCTGACACTGCAACATATATACAAAAGTTAGAGAGGGAAAAAGAGACTCGAGAAAAAGGAGATGTCAAAGACAATAGGTCATTTTTGGCAAAATATGCAAGTATTTCCTGATATAAAAAAATCAATTTTTAAATTAAATATTTTTAGTGGATGTATATTGTACCAATTGTCATAATTATGGTAATTTCATCTGCCACAAGTCAAGACACTCAAGGTGGCGGTGCAGCCTAATAAATGACCAAACCCAATAGTGTGAGTCTGGATGTAATTTATTTCATTCATAATAAATATCTGCCTTTATTGTTTCTATGAATATTTTTTACAACTAATAAGAAAATCAATATGCACTTTCACCACCACAGTTGTCGGTATTTCACAATGTTAATTAGTAGTTTTCCTTTTCTTTAAAGCGGGCTTCTCAAAAACTTGTTTGGCACCACCAGCCTGTGACGAATGGAATTTTAGATTCTGTTGGTTCTCTGTTGACCATGGAGAGTCAAATTGTGTAGTGTCTTGGTCAACCAAGTGAGTATACTTGGTTCTTCCAGAACGACCAAAATTCTTAACCTGCATGACCTTGGGCAAGATTGTCTTATCAAAATGATCTTCCAATGTTGCTTGTGCAAAATCTCTCTTGAACACCTCATCCTCTTTATCCAGATAAAATGCGCCACGATGATAATATTTCTGCAAAAACTTGTATTTACCCTTTGTGGCTTTGTTTGTAACAGTTTTTGGATTTAATCTTAATGCCAATCTTCTCTCTTCTTCTGTCATGTTTCGCATCTTTTCTATTTCCATCTTTTCTTTTTCTATAGCTTCCCTCTCTTCTCTGTCACGTTTTATTCTTTTCAATTCCCTTAGTTTCCATTCCTCATATTCCACTTCGTCATTTTCATCATCTGTACAAACATCTGCCAAATTTGGTTCATTATTTTCTTTATCCTTATCCTTGTCCTTATTTCTAATTAAATCTTCAACCATTCTTAATGTCTGGCGGCGTTTCTCTTCTGCCTTTCGAACCTCATCTTCCTCCAGTCGTTTTTGTTTTGCTGCCTCTTTTTCTTTTTCGATAATTGTTACCCTATCACGTTTTCTCACAAATACCGGCTTCAACCTAGGCCCAGTCTCTTCTTCGGAATCTGTATATTCTTCCTCGGATTCTTCTTCCTCTGTAGAACTGGAATCCGCCTCTTCCTTTAATATCTCTTCTTCAGCTTTGGTTCTTAACATTCTTTGTTTCAAAATTTCTCTTTTACGCTCAATTTCTCCATCACTAAGTTCTTCTTCAGAAACATCATCATCTGGACCAGCTTCCAATGTGTGTTTCTGCTCAGGTAGATTTATGTTAATGTCTTCTTCTTCCTCGGACGACTCCAAAACTTCAGGCTCCACAACATGCCTTCTACGTTCAGGTCTTACTTCAGTATCAACTTCTACATTCCGGAGCCGTTTCAATCTAGGATCATTTAGTTCGTCGTCACTTTTTACAGGTTCCGGTGTAGGCTCTCTTGGGACGTGATGCCTTCGTTCTAGAAAATCGTCTTCGTCCTCCTCGCTGTCTGAATGTACATCCTGGGCGTAATCTGGTCTCTTGCCTGATACATACCTGTGAACCTTTACTTTTTGCATTGATATTTCGCCTTTTTCATTTCGTACAGGGACAGCACCTGCTGTACTTTGTATTCCAAATATTAATGGTGGGTTCATCATTTTGTAATATTTAAATGAAAACAAACATATACTGACTTATATCTATGGAAAGTATTGACAAGAAACGTCAATTGTTCTTCTTTTTTCTTGACTAATATTCTTCATTTTGCCTAACATTTTGGGTAACGTAACTAAAATAAGATTTATTCTGTGCGTTTAGTTTGTTCATGGCGCGAAAACTATTAATCTGTGCTTGTGCTATTGAAATTGAAATATTTATTTACAAAATGGTTCATTTGACCTAATTTAAAAAAGTGATAAAAAGCAAATAATGTGATATTAAAAGTTGGTATTTTATTTTGAATGTATATAAGGACATTAGTCTCCCGATTATGGATACTCAACAGAAGGCAGTTAATGAAGAACTGAACGCAAATTCGATTGTAATATAGATCAAATTAATCACCTGATGTATCTTCTAATCTAGTAAATTTATTGTAGGATACTCTATTAAGTCATATAGAAATATCGGTCTCTGAATCGGAAAAACGGACCAATGGCGCTTTAAACTTAAAGGATTATTTCACTGTGTACTTGATTGAAACCAGGTAAGAAATATGAATGGAAAAATTGTATGTTGTCTATAAATCTGATGGAATTTTAGGATTATTGATCCTAATTTTGAGAGCGAACTCTTGAAACTTTCGACAATATGGAGAAGATACACAGAATTTGAGCAGCTTAGGAATTATTTGGAAATTACTTACCCTTATATAGTTTTGCCACCACTGCCTGAAAAACGGGTGTTATTTGGTTGGCAAAAAATATCCAATGATACATTTGACCCAAATTTTATAGACAGACGTCGAGCAGGCTTGGAAAATTTTTTGTTGAGAGTGGCGTCACATCAAATTCTTGGCTGGGATAAACATTTCATAGAATTCTTGCAAGATGAGGATGGTTGGAAGGAATCTTTAAAAGCAAATGGTTATTTGCAGGTTATAGAAAATAAACTCAAGTTTATTAACGTATCAATAAGACTGAAACGCCCGGATGCACAATTTGAAAATATCAAGGAATACAGCCAGTCATTGCATTCAAACCTCACCAACCTTTTAAAAGTGAGGTGCCGTGTGGCGGAGAAACAATATAATGTGCATAAGCTACATGCAAATTATGGAAGGGTCTTTAGCGAATGGAGCGCCAGTGAAAAAGAAATGGGAGATGCCCTTCAAAAAACTGGACATTATTTGGATTCATTTGCTTCTTGTATTGATGCAGCTTTGGAAGAGGAAGAATTGTTGGCTGACCAGCTAAAGGAATACTTATTTTTTGCTAATTCATTAGAATCAGTATGCAGGAATCACGAGATGTTACAGTTAGAGCTGGAAGACTCTGAAGAGAATTTGGCCAGTAAGAATATAGAGAGGGCGAAAGTGCAGCAAGGTAAAACTGGACTGATGTCTAGATTGTTTGGTGCTGTTGACACTGAGGAAGTCAAAGAGTTTAAACTTGGGAACTTAGACCAGCAGATACAAACCGGGGCGGTAGCTGTTAACAACAACAGAGAGGTTTTGAGGTTTGCAAAATTGTAAAGATGTTTTAAGCATCCTTTTGTAATCTTTGTTGCAGCATTTTCACCACTCAAGCTTTGAGTGATATAGAAAGGTTTAGGGGACAAAAGCTGCGTGATTTGCGAGAAACATTGGCCGGCTATGCATTTTTGCAGCTAAAAACTGCTAAAAAGGTGAGTCTTTTGTTAGACGAATCTTGCTTTTTCTATTAGTTTAATATCGTAGGGTCTACAAACATGGACACAGATCCGTGACTGTCTGGAAACTATTCCATGAAATGCTCAGTATTTAATAATCATATTTTTGTATCATTTACCTTTTATTTGTTAGTATATTAGCAGTGAAGATGTATCACAAATAGAGATAAAAAAGATATTCTAATAATAATATGACGTTCAGTGTTATTTATACATATTTTATTATTGATTTTAATCTGTTACACCAAATATTTATGTATTACTTAAACATTCCACTACTGTTGTATTCGATGAAATATTTTGTTTTAGTATTGTGATATAACTTTTTTTTTTTGCTGTTAAGAGTTGTTACAACCCATAACTATTTAATAATTAAAGCACTGTTTTTAAAAGATGTAATTTTATTTTTCAAGGATCAATTAAGACAAAAAAAAATTATACCTGCCTTTAAAAGGACGCAATAAAGAGTCATCAGGGATCAATTAAAAACTTTTATGCATATGTCCAATTAATCTCGGACCTACCCCCAGTTTTGACCTATATCATTTATTAGGCTTTTGTTAATTTTCAATGTTACAGAGAAAATTAAAAGAAAAAGCAAATTAATGTTAGATATGTTTAATTCTAAACAACTTGCGATCAATTTACAAGAAAAGGGCTTTGTAAAAAAAATGCGTTTAAGAACATGCACCCCTCAAAGTGACCAAATCCGCCACACAAACTAAGATCAACTCGAAAATTCGGTGATATTTTATTTTGTAACATGTGGCTGTATGGCTTTTTGTACAACAAGATTTACTGCTAATGAATTAGAGGTCTCTATAATGGAATAGAAAATTTACACATTTTTCTAAAAAATAACCAAATTCATATCGAATGACTACAACAATATAATTGTGTAAAAACGATAACAATGCAAACATTACAAGGTTTTCTTGTCTTCATCTTCCACCCGACATTGCGTCGCTTCTATGTTCTCCCTCTCCTGATTGTTGTCTCTGGACTTCTGCAAGTATTTAGGAAACCAGAAACAAGCGTGAAACAGTCGGAGGAATAGCCAAAACAAAAGAGCTAACGCCAAATACGAACAAGAAGATATCACCATTTTCCACACGTTTACAACTACTTTCTGGTGTTTCATGTTTGTATTTTGCGATGAAGTGTTTTTAGTTTCGATTTCTCGTAGAGAAAAGGAAATATCTCGAGCATACGGGAGACATGGCAACAAACTATACGGATTACAACATGTTTTCATCGATTTCTCTTTTTCGGAGTAAATATGTTTTGTATATTTTTGCTAAATGAAAATAAAAATAATAAAAATCAGTTTAGTTGGAATACTGAAGTTCTCCATCCAAAAGAAATAAACACACGAATGAAATTTACGCGACCGACTTAACAATGGCAAATTAATTTTTTGACCCATTAAACTCGTCTCCTACCTACCCGTCAGATCAAACAAATATAGAAAAAAAATTATAATTAAAATCGACAACTAATTGACACACAACGTGAAATGTTAATGCGGAAATAATTACGTTTTCTTCCTCCAAACACGCGGTTATCTCGTCGAGACTTTCCACGAAACCCATCCTCTTTTTGAGCTGCTCGCTCTCGATCCTTTCTTGCATCTTCCTCAGGCTGTCTTCCACGACGTTCAAGTTTGCGTGGAGTTGGTTCCTGCCCTTCAAGAATTTACTAGCGAACCATATAGCGAACAGGATACAAATGCACACCCATATCGCTAAACCGACTTTTATGACATCGTCCTGCTTGCTGGTCATATTTTTTTAAAATTAACTTACGCGGTTTTTATTAGGTGAATTTACCAAACGAACTAAACGGAAAACGACTGATGAGTAACGCAAATATCGATATCGTTAAAATATTTAAGACGGCGTTCAAGAACAGTATTTATTGGAATATAATAGCAGGTTTTTGCTGGGTTGCTGGGGGCTCAGTTTGTTTGTCTATCGATTAGGGATGGCATTCGTTTTGTTTTCTAAGTTGAAGCCTATATAAATAGGTCGTAGCACCGTAAATAATTCGGACTCTGCATATAAGCGGATAATATCTAACATGATCAAACAAAATCGATATTAGTAAGTTGTCGTATAAAAAAGACAAAATGGCCTTTACTTTCACCGCTTTCGAAAGGCGGTTCGCTTTTACAATTTACCAAAAACGCAATTATAACAATTTGAATGTCCTGGCGCATCCGCCAAATTCATTTTTTTTTTAATTCTTGCCAGATTGAGCAATTTCCTGGTGACGTCATTCTTCGACTCTTGCGCCATGAGCTAAGGCCCTCCTTGCATCCCCCACTCCGTTCCGAGCGTCCATTGTTTCGCCCTGTGCGCTTTTGTCGGGTAAACAATAACAATGGATTTCTGACGTTTAAGGCAATAATCTTCTCCGAGTTCGCTACGAACTCGAAAGTCTTGAATTTGAAATCGGGCGGCGATCGCACGGGTTGTAAAGAAAGTGTTTGATGTATTGTTCGTTGATTATCGGCGTTGCTACGGGCCCGATCGGTTTCGTTCTGGTGCGGGCGAGTGAAAGAAACGTAGGGGTTGATTTAAAACGGCGATAAAACGAAATGCCACACTCGCGAATGAAACTTACCATTGTCCATCCCGTTTGATCCGTATGTCTTGCTTTGGAGTTCGTTGACCTCTTACCTACATGTGCAGTTGCATCGCGGTTAGTTATCTATATTTTAGATGTATCTGTGGGAAGTATAATTAGGGTGTGTTTAGACCGTGAGATGCTCAACCGATTCATCGTGCGAATCGGACATTTTAAAAATCTCAAGAGTATCGTTTCATTTGCAGCCGTGCTCAAATTTTATAAATTTTCCATTCATTTAAAACAAGAGTGATTAAACTTAAGGACTGCGATACCTGCCGTGGTAATTAATGCGCCAGTCAACAATAACTTTCATCTATTAATCCTGGATTCTCCATTGATGTAAGTATCTTAATAACCGTAAGTCATAGTTCGTAAGATTTTTAAATTATTATATGATTAAATTAGTATATGATTGTTTCCAATCCAAGCTGAGTTCGAGGTATATGTTAGATGCCCAATGACCTCAGGTGTGCAGACATATCTATTTATAGATAAAAAAAATGGTGTAGAAAGTTGAAATTACTAAGAATTTTGTTGTTTTGTTAAAAACAAATTACGCTTTTAGAGAATTTAGTCCATTTGATTATTGAAATGCGTCGACATTTGCAGCAGCGAAACGAATGGTAACTTTGCAATTTAAAATGGGACACCACCTCCACGATCGAGACCGAAAAATCATTAACTGGGGTCGTAAAACCGAAATTTCCAAAAATTTCGTTTCTCTAGAATTTTTAAAGGGGGAAGAGTGTTTGGGCTCTCTTCTAACGTAATAATATTTCAAACAATTCATTCAGCTTCTACAGCTTTCAAATGGCAAAATTGCTATTACAATAGAGAGGTAACTAAGTAAAATGCTAGATATCTAGCTATAATAAATGTTTAGTGACTGTTGGATAGGTCCGGAATTCTATACCGCTGTAAATAAGACAACAATCAAACGATGTTTTATTGCACGTAAAGTTTAATTTTACGACTATAATTTTACAGATAGACCACTTTTCCGTGTGATTGCGTGTTAAAGTTAAAAATAAAATTTAACTTTGTTTTTATTTAATGCTCGTGTCTCGCCGTGGTTATGATTATTTTCGGGGGGTTTCGCTAGTTTAATGTCTTTTAAATTTGATTTTAACATTCTATAAGAAGGGTTATCCATAATACCGGTTTGGTTTTAAAGCTGTGCGAGTGCTTTCCGGATCGATTTTGCGACGATAAACACGCACATAACTTTGTTCATGTCGAATATGTCGTTAAACAGCGAGCCGCGTTTGAACGGGGCGGTTTTGGTAATGCAGACGCATCTCGAGAACATCGTCCGGCCTTCTCGCGCTGTCAGAGAATCGAATCGCAACTGATATTTGCCCATACAGTGATACAAAGCTTAAAACAACCTCAACACGTGCAGTTGGTTACATAAAAGAATGGCCAGAAGCCAAACAAAACGGACTTGTTGCCTATTATAAATGACGTTAATCGATAAAATCAAAAAACAAACTACCTAGAGTCTAGAATAGTATCAAAAGTGATTTGGAGGGCTCTGTTTCGTAAGGATGTCCCGCAGGTGTTTTTTTTACTCTACTTTCGCCGTCGTTAGTTTTGTATCTGTTCTTTTAAACGCGTTTCTGGCGAAAAATGCCCGTTGTGCGTCCGTGCCAAGATTTCCGAGAAGATATTCTTAACCAAATCACCCGAACGCGCTGTCATCGTCAATTCCTTGAGAAAAATATTAATAGGCGCATGCAAAAATAAGTCCACTTAGCTAAGATGCTGTAAATAATTACGAAATTACGAATCTAGTGGTATTATTGGAAATAGAGCTCGATCATGTTCTTGGAAAATATCCTAATTTACTGTCACAATGTTGTCCGAGAGGGAGTACTAAAAGCTGGACTTTGTAGTTGAGCGGCCCATTAGCTCAGTTGGTTAGAGCGTCGTGCTAATAACGCGAAGGTCGCGGGTTCGATCCCCTCATGGGCCAAGATTTTTTTTCATTTTCGAATTGCGATTTATTTTTTAAAAATTATTTCGTCACTTCTTTAAGCTTATTTTGTATAGAATCGAATTTCTTTAGAGAGGAGTTCGGATTGATATTTATAAGTTCCGGGAAAAGCGCTTATTGTAATAAAAAATTGTCGTTACCATATTGATATCGCTTAATTTGACTCAACTTTGTAGAATAAAAGGTGAATTAGTAATCGAGTCGCTCTTATAGTTAGCTATTATTATTTACAAGAATTGGAGTGTAAGTCACGACAAAGGGATCAGAGGTCAACAGCTCATTTGGCGTTGACAAAGGAGCAAAAGGCAACGTTGTAACTTGTACGTGCTCCCTAAAACCGACAGATGTTCAGAAATCATATTTTTAATAAATCGTTATACAACATGATGTACTGTACGAGTTCTGAATCTCAAATCATATTTTGTAAATATCGCTTTATTGTGAATAAATTTCCTTAAATCGTAATCATTTATTAAAACAAAAACCGAAATTGTAAGTCAACAAAGTAAAAACAGAACATATTTAAGGAGTTGCATTTCGTTTTTAAAAAATTAAAACTTAATAAAACTTTACTTTTACTTTACTTTAGTACTTTTTACCGTCGAGTAATAAGAGATAATAGACGCCAAGTTTATTCTGAATTTTATAATATAAATATTGATATGACAATTACGAATTTCAAACTTATTTCGATGTTGCTCCTAGGGGGCGTTAGTTTCAACATATTATTCAGATAAATCGATTCAGATTAGTTTTATCTGTCGAGTTATGGTTGAAACATGATGAACATTTAAAAGAATGTTTAATTTTTCATTGAAAGGTACTCTTGTTTAGGCTGTCAAACTCTGTCCATTTTAGACTTATTTGTATTTAAACAAAGTATTTTTGATAATCACTTAAAATATAAGAAGGTACGGGACAATATTCTACAATACACTCAAATTTATGATGTTGTTTTTTTGTCCTAGGTAGGCGCGTGTCAGCATTTGTCAACTCCACATGTCAGTTACTACTTGCGCAAACATATTAGCTGGCAATCACAAAATGCCCATGGCGTAATAATTTCTCAAAATTCGAGATATGTTTATTATTTCAATATTACAATTATTACAATTAAGAAATTAATAACAAGAAACTCAATACTAATCCGGCGGCAATATTTGGAAAAACTTGAGTGCACAAAGAAATTGCAATAAAATTTATTAAATATCATCAGTAACTTTTGTAATTTTTCATATATTTTGACCAGCAGTCAACAGAATCGTCCTCTCAAAAGCAAAACCACTTCAGAAGAATGAAAGTCACTCGGAAATCAGAAGCTAATCAATCTTCAAAGAAAAAATGCAGAGAACGCTGTGATTAATGCCAAGATAAGAGACACTTTGCCACTAAAACATCAAGTAACAAAGCAAAGCAATGTAATTACAGTAAAACAATTCCTTTATATAGCAAAATGGTCCACGTTTTCCTTCCTCCAAGATCTTTTTTTTACCAGAATGATTAATTAAAATACTGAGGACGTATTACTGACACTTTCGCCATTATTAAAGCATACGTTTACAAGCCATAAGAGCAGAAGAACATTTGTAAATAGCATCGCAGTAGCCTATGGAAGTGTCTGAAAAATTAACCAAAAATAGTATATTATGCAAAAAATGCGGTAAACGGCATTTGACTCACGAGTTTATTTGGCACGAGTGAGATAAAGAGTTTTTCTACTCCCGCCTGTAAAATGCCTAATTACACACCGATCTAGCGTGCCGGAGATGTCACTTTACCACGTCAGTTTGATTTCTCACGGATCCGATCCGAGCCGTGTTGTTTTGCGAAAATGTTCCCAAATACTAAAGGTCGTAGAAAAAGTATAGTAGGTAGTTAGGTGTCCACTAGAGTCATTTGAAGAACGATTTTAGAGGCTAACAAACGAAAATTTCACTTAAATTAAATGTAGATGTAGCGTGAGGTAGTTTCACCCTCCCTATGGCCCGCAGTCAAATCCTAACGTATCTGAATTGTTCAACGCTTCAATATTTGGTGGGATTCGCGCCGGAAGATACGCAACCCAGACGATTGTCTCTCACCCGTACCAACAGGAGACGGTCTCCCCGGAGCTGCTGGCGGTGGCGGCAGCACAGCAGGAAAAATCTCGGGAGCGCGCGCGTCGCAATCCTGCAGCAGTCAGTCGCGTACCGACTTGCTGGTCTGGTGAAAGCTGCGGCTTTCTCATTACCCAGCGAGCGTTATCGCGAGAACGCGATCGGTCATGTGAATTGAGGTCAGTGGTGGTGTGTCGCCTATCGCTTTCCAAGCATTTGAGTTTTGGTGAATATGACTTTTATGTCACACCTGCGAGAGAAGAGCAAGGACAGCCTGCCGCGTTTGGAATCGGGAACGGTCAAAGAGGCATGGTATGTCAAAATGTAGGTGCTTTTGTTGCGTCTGCGATTGATTTTTTTTGCGGTAGCTGCGGTCGTTGCATCCCAGAAACACGCACGCGGGAACGCTAGTGGTCTTTCTTGTGGCGGTATAGCGATCACCCGCAGGCCTAGTTTTTAACGGTCGCTATCGAAAATATGCATTTTAATGAGGGCGCTTGACACTTGAAAAATTTTATGGACATCTCCAGGTTCGCCACATGGCCATTTATATATATTAAGTATCGAGTCATTAATAATGCAGGGTGCTTTATAATTGAATGTCAATAATTAAGAAACGATAAGAAAACTTCATATGAACATATGTTCTAAACGCCTTCACTTTTGAGATACAGGGTGGTTTTCAAAAATAAAATATATATTTTTTTTAAATCTGTAATACCACTTGAGATATTTTAATGAAATCTGGCACACATGTACTATCTATCAAAAGGCATTACTTAGTGCACAACAATTTTTTTGAAATACACCATTGGCGGGCGCACAGAATTTCAACTGTCTATTTTGGCAGGCATTGGTGGTACGCCATTGATTTTTTTGAAAATCAAAATTATTCTTACAATATCCAATCATTTTTAAAGTTATTAAATTTCTTGATTTTTTCAATCCGATGTACGGTTTCCGCTAAAGAAAATAAAAACCTCTTCTCTGCAAATTAAGAGATCAAATCTGCGTATAAATGTATGCAAATTTAATTTTTTTTAAGAAATCTGTGGCGTGCCACTCACTATCCATGAACAAATAATATTTTGGTTAATTAGGTCGCCACTGCATTGGTTAAATCGAGAACTTTTTTTGTGAAAAATAAAATATCTTTCTTAAAACAAAATATCTAGTTTTTAGTTACTAGTGTCCTTCAGAAAAAAAAATTAGAAGACTGTTCTTTTTACTTTTACAGTTTTAATGAA